ATTTCTATTTTGAATAAATGCTGTTCTTTTTAACTTTTTATTCATCAAAGAATCCTGAAAAAAGTATCACAGGTTCCAAAAAAATATTAAGCAGCAACAGTTTCCAGCACTGATAATAAATCAGCATATTAGACTGATTTCTGAAGATCATGTGACACTGAAGACTGGAGTAATGATGCTGAAAATACAGCTTTGATCACAGAAATAAATTACAGTTTACAATATATTCACATAGAAAACTGTCATTTTAAATGGTAATAATATTTCACAATTGTGCTGTTTTTACTGTATTTTTAATGAAATAAATGCAGCCTTGATGAGCAGAAGAGACGTCTTTAAAAAACATTACAAGTCTTACTGATCCCAAACTTTTGAGCAGTAGTGTATTTCACAAAAACAAACCTGTGTGTGTGTGAGAGAGTGTGTGTGTGTGTGTGTGCGTGTGTATGTACCTTCTCATGATACGCTGTGATGAGCCAGAGCTCGATGTCGACTCCATTTCCTCTTTTTTCCGCTCCGATGAAATGAAGGATATTTTCATGTTTCATTCCACTCAAACTATACATCTCATATTCATTCTGCCATGACTGTTTATTCTGAGAGAGATCGCAGACAAACACATGCAAAATTAACAACATTCAAAGCCACTGTAAAACAGTACATTTACACACAATTGTGATGCACATTAGTTGATTTCTGTATTCATGTGCACAAGTTGTAAACAGACTAATGAACTAGATTACTTGGTGGACAAATTATTTATGATTCATTAATTTTCCAAATTATCTGTTGAATATTGGTGTATTTTATCATTGCACTTGCTGTCATTTTACAAAAGCAGCTAGATTTAAATGTCCAGTCTTTGCAATGTGAACCAGTGCAAAATGCAAAATACTTCAGTGTGCAATTCAAATATTACAATGATTTTATCGCTGTTGAATACTGAACATTGCATCACTTTATCAAAGAGAATTCTTCAAACATAATTTTTTTTTTAAAGAAAAATCATATCAGCTAAGACTGAAAGTACACTGTAAAAAAATGTATTTTTGAAGTCTTAAAGATTATTGGAGTATGTTTTACAAGAAAATACTATTTCAATGTTTGTACTTCATGTTTAATTCAGTGTCACTTGTCATTTCTTTAGTGAAAATCATTTCCAGTGTTTCTAGTTCCAATATTTTTAGTGCATCAAACTCAGCGAAAATGTGCATTAATAACTAGATTATGTTTTTAATGCAATAACATGACTAGCATAAGTCAACCTCTAGGGAATAAAAACACTACCAAGATGTAGAATATGATTTAATTTGATCATTTTAAAGCTTGTAGGGTTCAAACATTTTAAATTACAGTACAATGAAGTGTATTTTCAGGCTGAATTAATAGCAGAAGCTTAATATTTTAGGTTAGAGGTTTAGAACAAACACTAGCTGTAATATTTGAAGAATATTAATACAGAGATTCAGAGCACAATAATAAAGTACTCAGATTTGAGTTACCAGCAAACCATATCACTGTTACCCATGAGCTTTTGGCTTATTGCTTTATTATAATCATGTCGAATCTTCTGTGCTGAAGCTGAGGAGGGAAACTTGGACCAGCAGTAATAAGATGAGACGCGTCAGGTACCTGCACAGGGAAGATTTTGACAGCCACGTGTTCGTTGAGCAGCTGAGCTTTCCAGACGCAGCCGAAGCGTCCGCGAGCCTTCAGCTCCAGCAGCTGCAGCGGCTTCTGACCCAACAACGGCGACGGAGGCATCAGACCCGGATCCTGCAGACACAAACACAACCCACTGAACACATGATTCACTCACACACATCAACACAAACACACACACACAGCGTCTGATGCAGGAGAACGCATATAATAATCCATGCCAGCTACAAAGAAAGAAAGAAAGAAAGAAGAGCCCATATGCAGATGAGGGTGACCACATCACAAACCCATGACAGAGGATGAGAACTGAAGCATCAGCAGGGCAGCATGGGAGACCGTGAGAGTGAATGAAGCTCTTACCTCGATCATGATACGAAAGGCGTGCTAGCAAGAGAGGAACAGAGGGGTTTTACTGCTTCTAGCACACACACAAGCTCTGGGATGTGAGTAAGAGCGAGCGCAAACCCATCTCAGCGTGAGAATGAGAAAGAAACACTGATGTGTGTCTGTGAGAACATGTGATGGAGACTTATATGCAGCAATGAGACACTGACATGAAAACACACTCACACACACACACACACACTCACACTCACACTCACACACTTAGCTATCTAAAAAAATGACATCATAGACTACTATTGCTCACACTCACGCACACACACACTCACGGACACACACACACACACGCACACGCACACGCGCACACACACGCACACTATTTTGTCCCCCAATTAAAGGAAAATAAATCAACACAGACACACACACGCTCACACACACACTCATGCACACACACACACACACACACACACGCACACACGCACACACCACACACACACACACACACACACACACACTATTTTGTCCCCCAATTAAAGGAAAATAAATCAACACAGACACACACACGCTCACACACACACTCATGCACACACACACACACACACACACACACACTCATGCACACACACACACACACACACACACACACACACACGCACACACACACACGCACACACACATAC